TTGAATCAAATCAAATCAGTTCAAATCAAATTATATATTCGAATCAGTTCGAATTGTATCAAATTATATATTCGAATTTCATTGATTCGTTCGGAGTCTTAGCTATAACCTAACAGCTAACAGCTAATTAAGCACGTGCTATAACGAACTTTTAACATTTTTGCTAAAAACCATTATAACGAGGTTTGACTATGGTCTATAATCTTTTATACCATGATAGCGAAGGTCCGTGGATTACCAAAATTATAATGGAAACCACGATCGATTTTATCCATTTCATACATAGTAATAGTATATAACATGTTTAGATACGGCTGGTCAGTTATTCTATTTACATATTCATAAATGCAATCGGGAACAATGAAAGTTTATAAATGGCACAACACTGCAAACTTATTGTTCCAGGTTCTAAACTACAACACCTTTGAGTAATTAAGTCTGTGCTTCCAGAAAAATCTCGTTCAACCGGGATATTGGCTGCTATAATAAGTTTATTAGATTAGAAATTAAATAAATTTAAATTTGAATGAGTGCAAAATTAGACTGCCAAGTAGTCTCTAAACTAAAGCTCCGAAACCGATCCAAAAATTTTTGGTTTGGACCGAGCTTTAGTTAGGCATTAAAATTTGTTATATAGTAAACCCTCTATAAGTGCACTCTATGCCTCATTCCCAAGTTTGGAACTCGGAGATAAATCCATTCCATTCCCACTGCACAATCCCATTCATTAATATCTGTGACTTTCATGCGACAACCGTAATTCCCGCCCGTTATATGATTATTATTTATTATTGTTGGCATATTTGTATTAGAAGCCTTGATCTTCAATTATAAAATGTTCATGGGGTTCGGTACGATTCCCGAACAATTCAATAATGACATGACATGGTATTAGGAAACATCCTGTCGGAAAATGTCCTATCGGGGAAACGGTTGTTGGGGGAATGGGAGAAACCACCCGTTCATGATAGGCAGTGCTGTTCCGAACACTGGAGCAGTGGAATTATCCAGTGATTGATCGAAATTGTATTTGCTTTGATTGTATAATGGATATATTCATATAATAAATAATAAATATACTTACATACAAACTATCTATTTCGAATGATTCGATTTGATCAGGCTTGTCTTAATATCAATTGTAAAAAGTTCATGAGTTAAGTGAAACCATCATTTAACCAAAAGGCGCTTTTTATTTTGAATGTTTTCACATGTCTGAAATTACAAGTTTATTCTGTCTATTTAAACTAATATACTTTGAGATCAGAACTGATTGCGAAAAGATCTTGGCGGATTCTGAAATCGGAGGTTTTATTCTATCTATATTCCTATGGTTAATGATTAGCGTTCCGAAAAAAACGAACCGAAAAACCAAAATTAAACCAAAAATGAGAAATGATATCGAGATTCCACTCGGAACAATGAAAACATTAAATTTAATTGATCGATTGATATGTCCAAAGCACCGGTCAAACCGAAACTGAACCGTTAGGAACTTTAGCTATGATTTAAAGTTCCAAGAAAGAGCAATAGTAATGAAATTCCTTTTTTAAGCACTCGTTTTATTTTTTTGGGTTTTTCAAATTCGTGTGAAATGTAAATAATAAAAATAGTCACGACATAATTTTTTGTGTCAAAAGAACCAATTACAATTATTCTCCTTTCTTTTTTTGGGTTTAGCAATTTGATCTTCGATATTATTTAATTTAACGTACATAACAAATTTAAAAATATAACTTTGATCACCACATTTTTATTATTTTCTCAAGTCGTTCGTTAGTTATTATACAAAAAATAAAATTTATAAAATTTATAAAAACATAAAAATTCGCTTTCCTTTAAATAATTTATAAAAATTTACTTTCCTTTAATAATCTATTACATTTATTTTTTTGATATAAAAGAATTAATTAGGATCAGAAAATCGATAAATGAATTTATACTCAAACTATCATGTTGCCATTAGCCCAAATGGCAAAGAAGTCGCGATTTTTAACACAAGTAATATTTATTGTTTTTTCATTTTAGATTTATCCATTATATGTTTTAAATAATAATCGACTTTATTTTTTTCAACGTATAAAAAAGGTACGTTTGAATTATTTGTTAGTGAAGCTAATAATTTATTAGAACCAAGGCAAATCAAAACAGATTCATTAAAAAATATCGATAATACAAAGAAATTAATCTGGTCGTTAGCAATATCAAATCCAATAGTTAACGACAAAGATGATGATTTTGAGAATGAAATTTTAGTAGCATTATCATGTTTTCATGAACATGAAATTATGTTAAATACTCAAGAGCTTTCTTCCAATAACAACAGCAATAACAATAAAAACATTGACCTTAATGTTAGTAACAGTTTCTCACCAATATCTTCTACTAATTCAATGTCTCCATTAAAAGAAAATCAAGATGGTAATACTTTTGATGAAGAGAAGGGTATCAATAGAATAGTCAGTTCTTCAAAATCATCAACTTGGATTATTTCTACTTGGCATGAAGCAAGAATTTCTACTTCAATTGATAATATTGGAGGTATATTAAAATTTTTAGATGAAGATAATAATAATAGTCATAATTATAAAATGTCTGATAAAAAGAAAAAGAAGAACCTCGGTGGTAATAGTAGTAGTGGTAGTAGTGATAATGGGAATAATAAAATGATGAATGTGATGATAATTAATGCATCTGGGATTTTTAAAACTTGTCTTAGTTTAGACAATTTATCAATAAATAAATCAACAAATTTTTGGTGGCCAGAATATTTAACTTTACTTTTCAATCAGTCTGACTCATACCAAGAATTTGATTTCCCATCAAAAATTCAGGCAGAAATAAAAAAACTTTACCAAAACACTTCATGTCTAGAACTATTGACACGCAATATAGAAAATGACTTTCTTCTGGTGGAAGATTATAAAGATCGTGTACAAGTATTGGAAATGTATAATCTGAAGACTAATGAATTGGAAATGGTTTTTCATCAGAAAGAAGAACACAATTCTTTCGATTTAAATAACAATTATTTTAGTTATGGAAATCCTTCGATTGCGATCTCAAAATATAAATCATTGTTGGCTTATTGTCGAGGGATCAATAGTATAACAATATACCTGATGGAAAATAGTTTAGACGTTGTCACAAAAAATTTTTTGAATATAGAAAGAATTCTAACAATTGATTTTATTAACGAGGATGAATCTTTATTAATCATTGCAATAGAAAAAGATAATCTAGATCCTATTATTATCATATGGGATTTATTTAATTATATGAATGATTCAATACGTATCATTAAAGATTTTAATAAAATATTCTCTATTAATGACAATGATAATCATTACAAGTTTATTCGTTCATGTGGCACAATATTATTATTTAATGAAAATACTGGTATGATAAACTCAATCTTGGAAAATCCCACAATAAAATCAATCATTTCTCCTTCAACATCTTCTTCATTCACTATACCTACACAATATAATTTATCATCTTCATCATTAATTAATTTATCATCAATAGTTAGTCAATTTGAATATAATCATTTAATATTTTATCAGAATGGAAAATATTATAACGCCGAGAAATTAAAAGATGAATTAATAGTAAACAATAAAGAACCTTGGATTCATAATAATAATTATAATAGAATTTCTGCTTTCCTTAACAAAGAAAAATCTTTACAGCTAATAATTGGTGAATCTACAATCCAAATTTGGTATAGAAACAAAACAACAAATAAGAGTAAACTGAAATATATTTGGTCAAGTAAAAACAAAAGTAAAAAAAAATTTTTTATAGAAAATTTTTTACTAGGTGAAAAAGAATTCAAACTCTCATTAACAATTACACCTACCATTGCCACTGCTACCACTTATCATCATAATCAAAATTATTCTTCGCTGGCTTTGAGGAAAAAAATTAATGATGATATTGTAGACATTCATTGGCCTTACAATAATGTCAATCTAATTAAAGATGCTTGTGAATCTTTGGGTTATTTGTATCATCTGAAAGACGACCCAGCTGGTCCAAAAAAACAACAAGAATATGAAGATTTGATTTTACAAATTGAGAAAATTATAATCAAATTCATTGAAAAATATCCGATTAATTGGAGATTGATTAATATCAGATACAATCTGATGAAATATCTGATCAAAAGTAAACGATTGAATGTCATTAAATTTATATTAAGTTATAATTGTAATAATATTAAATATTTACATATACCAAGATTACACAAATGGCCACTTAGGCCAATTAATAACACTGATTTAGAAATTGCAATCAAATCAATTGGCGAAAATAATAAGAAGACCACTGATATCATCATAATTAATTATTTTTTGGATTATTATACTGATAATGCAATGGATAATACTGGATGGATGTTTACTGTCAGCAAAGCAATTCCATTATTATTTGAATACAGATTAGATACATACGTGAAAGATTTATTTTGTAAACCATGTTTTGGTGCAAAAGATATCCATCTCGATGAGTCTTCATTAAATCCTGATGATATACCAAAAGGTAAATCAAAATATATCAGAGCTTTTAGTCCAAACCTGGAACTGCCATGTAAAAACAACTCCTCGATTTATGGTTTATCATTATTTCGTCCAATAAAAAATATAATTAGTTTATCAACAAGGTAAATAGTATAAAAAATATATATTTAAATTATATTATAAATAGATATACCTAATATTTACATCTAATGTTTATATATATCAAGCATAACACACAATAATCAGTTGGCCAATTTACAAAAAGTTATACCAGGATTTTATCGTACCAATTCATCATCATTGATCTCTCTAAAACTAGTTCCACTACCAGATTTCACAGTTTTTCCTAAAGAAACAAAACTACAAATAATAAACTACCGAAAATTACCATTAAAACTATTGAAATTATTGATCTGGCCGCGTGGTTATGTCATCAAAAAAGAATCAAACTTGTCACCATTTTTACGAGCAGTTAAACATGATAAACATGGTTTAATCTATGACAATCCATCAATCGAAGCAGTAATTGATTTCAAATGGTCATCTGCACGTAATCATTTCTTGAGACATACAGCACTATATTTCATTTTTGCTTTGTTGTTTGGATTGTTAACTGGGGCTGTTAAAAATGACAGTTTGATCTATAATGGCAATGCGAATATAGGCGAAAAAATTATTACATTTTCAATGTCATCTTTGTTTTACTATTTAGGGTATTATATATTAGCATCAGAAATTATACAACTGTTTCATGAGGGATTCCGTCGATATATCAGTGTTTATAATTTCTTTGATCTGGCTTCGGTTGTTATGCCTTTAGTCACATATACTTGTATTAAATTAATAAAATCAAATGAGCAGAGTTTAACTCAACGATTAACAATTGCTATAGCATTCACTGTTTTAGTTATGTGGATTGAATTGGTAAATATAAGCTTCTGATAATAATAATGACAATACTCACTTGATATATCTTTATTAATTATATTTTTTAAATTTTGATAAAAAGTTTTTACTTTTAAGATTCTTTTCAGGTAAATGACATTAAAAATTTTTCAAATAATATAAAACTTCAAAATTATTTACAGAACTTTTTTTTTAAATATTTTAAATAATAAATTAATGATAATAGGGCCTGGAAATTATATTTATATAGTTGTAAATATAATGAAAAATGTCTGGCCATTTATCTCATTCATGTTAATTGTGGTATTAGGATTTGGACATGCAATGTAAAAAGAATTTTTTTGATATCATTAATCATTAATCATTACATTACTTATGCCTAACACAGTGGAATTTATTTATTTATTTAGGTACATTCTACTAAAATCACCTCAAGAAATTGGTGTAGAACCTGATGGTAATCAATATCATATAAAAAGCACAGATCCAAATGTTAACTCACTTTATAACAATGTATTGATTGAACAATCATTTAATCTGAGTAATACAAATGACAATTCTTTCTCAAATTTTGCTCAATCGACTAAGGCTGTATATTTTTGGATAAATGGTAGATGGGATCAACTAGAACAATGGGATTTTTGGCCGGTTGATGTTTTGTCTATATTGGCTAGTGTTTTGTTGGTTATTGTTATGCAAAATATGTTAATCGCCTTTATGACGTAAGTTATTAAAATATTTTAAATTGTTTCAAAAAAAAATTTTTTAAAATCATTTAAATATACATACATGCATATCTTTGATTTAGTGGAGTTTTTGATGACGCAAAAGCAGAGAGTAGACATGCTGTATTGAAATATCGAGCAGAATTAATTGCAGATTATGAAACATTGGAAAATCCGTTCGGGTATACAGAGAAGAATCCACGACATATATTTTATATTGGTAATGCCAATAAATTTGCTGAATGGTTAAGGAAATGTGAAGAGTATCGACGATTAAGAAATGATACTACTGCTACCACAAATTATTCATTGTCAGCTAAAGAAAGAGTTTATCTATATGATGGTGACAATGATGATTGTGGAGGTGATGATGTTGTTGAATTTATGGAACAAAAAATTAATAATAATAAAAAAGCTGATGAAGATAATAAATATTTGAGCAATCGACAAAGCAATAATTATAATGGTGACAATGTTAATAGAAGGGGTTATGGAAAAGATGGATTATTTAGATCAGCTACAATAGACAATTCTAGTTATTTAACACCAAATCATTATCAGCATCAATATCAAAATGAAATTTCTAATAGATCATCACCACCATCACCACCACATGAAAACAATAACGCATTGACAAATGTCAATTTTCTTGAAGAAATTGGACACTTAAAAAATGAAATGAAAAATATTAAAGGAGATATAAATAACAGAATGAATTTAATTGAAGAAAAAATTTCTAGTGTATTGGAATTAATGACAAAGATTAATACTAACAATAATTGTTCCAATTAAACATTGAAATTTAAATAGATTGATTAAATTGGATCTATATATAGATAGATGTTGTGCGTGAAAATGAAATTTGCAATTCACGTGTGAAATCCAAATTAGCCAATCAGAATTTCATATCCAAACACCCCACCCCAAAATTTCATATAGATATTGTAAAATTTTTTTTTTTTCAATAAAATGTTCAATTTATTATAATTAACAAGTGGCAGAATTTAATTATCAACTATTTTGTTAAATCTCCCCAACTAGGAAAGTCACCCATTTGAACTTTTTGTATTGTTTAGTGTATATTGACTGGTGTTAATGGTTTGTGTAGGTTCTTGAGAAGGTAGTAAAATGGAATTGAGAAGTTGAAAGCAATCTTGATGCACCGGTAATAACAATGGCAGTTACTGAATGAGGATCATGGGCTTTATATTGCAGCCACATTTAAATGAATACAGCACCATATACTTGACACTAGTGATCTTGAATTGATAATTTTATGGGATTGTGAAAGTCTAGTTTATTGGAAATATCTACACAAGTTTTTGAGGATCAGTCATTCCAACAGCACAACATCTTCTATGCTGCTTCCTCATCTTACCATCACCTCTATGTGCATGCCCTTTTATATGTGAATTAACTCCTGTACCAACTGTACCGATTAACATAACTGGTAGGATAAATGATTGTATATTATAAAATTTGGGTGAAAATTTGATGATCTAATATTACTATATGGGGTCTGTACTAGGAAAATCAAGCTTCCAGCTATTTTTTTTTTTTTTGTCTTTTTACTCAACAATAATCTCTAATAAAGGATTTACAGTTGGTGAAAAAATTGGACCCCGTTTGCATAGTAGAAAATGAGATACAAGGCTTGGAATATTTTCTTTATATGGTGCAAGTCGCAACTTGCTGCGCCTTGTGGCTAATTTTGGGAAAAATCATCAAATCTCAGAATTGTATATACAACTTTACATATTAAAATTTATGGATGTAATATTACGGCGGGAAAATTTCCTGATGACTATACAATGAATACACAATTTCAGCACACCTATGATCCTATGGCCCATTCTATAATGGAAATGATTTGCAAGAACATATTGATGAAGATTTTGAAAGGTTAACAAAATTCACAAAAAATAGTTATGTACATAATTATAATTTTATAGACAGATTTGAGATTAAGGATGCTTTGACTTATGTGTTAGAAAAATTGATAGTTATATGTTTTCATTTCTATCATAAGTTGATTATAATAATAATTTATTCATATATTTTAGATTTTTTAACTAATATTATTTTTAAACTATGTATAGAAGATAAGTTGAAAATATATTTAATGGACAAATTCGCAGAACCTTTTCAAAGATTTTCATTGATAAAAAAGATGGAATTGCTTATCAGAAGTTATAATATTCATTTAATGCAGGGTTGGCAAATTGACTGGTCTATTGCCCATTAATAAAATACTAAATATGGTTAAAGTTTTACATTAATGGACCCAATGGACCATCAATGGACTGCACATTTGCCAACCCTGATTTAATGATTAAGGATTTTAGTGGTTTGTGTGAGGAATTAATGGTGATAAAGAACATTATTATTAGGAATTTGGATTTAATCAAACAAACTAATAGTATATTGAAGAAATGCCATGCTTAAGATTTTATTTTTAGATAATGTAATTTATAATAATAAGATCATAATCTTCACCTTAATATAAGATCACTGGATAAAAAATAATTCACTCAAAACTATAAATCAAAGAGCATATCTACAAATAAAAAGAACTTTTTCAAAGATTTCTTAGGCTGTTATATGTTTTAAAAGTCCAGATCATAAAATCGTGGTTAACATTTTTTTTCCTTTAAAAGAAATGTTTATTTTAAAATTTCTTTAGACAGTATATCATTTATTAATAGTTGTAAAGCTATTCAGTAGAAAGTTTTCTCAACCTCAGTACTTTTATTTAGAAAGTTCTAAGTTTTTTTCAATATATTGATTATCCATGATCATATGCATGATCTCTTGTTATTTTGGACAATGTTATGATAAAAACTTGATTAAGAAATTGTTACATTTTAAGAATTTATAATTGTTGTATGTGAAATTGAAATTATGTGAAATTGAAATATTATGGAGTGGGGTGAAATTCTGATTGGCTAATTTGAATTTCACATATGTGAATTGCGAATTCACATAATTTCATTTTCACGTACAACATAATCACCAATTGTATCAAATTTTGACCCCTGAAATATTTGGTAATACCTAGTGTTGTACATGGGACATGTCCGCCTAATATTGAGCGGACATGGACATGTCCTGGACAATGTCCAATGGACACTCGGACGTGTCTGCTCATTTTCTTAAGTGTCCCGGACTGTCCAGGACGAGTAGTACAAACCACAAGTTAAACGTGAGAAAATGCCTTTACCACCTTTGTTAACTCAACATATTATTAAAACCATATAAACTAAACCAAAGCAATTCAAAAACGTTTTGTAAACATGTGTTACAGATTAAATTTTGGGAGAGCGTATTTTTAATTGGTGATAACAATTATCTTTGTTTTGTGTGGATCAACGAATTGATTTTGTTATTAGTGAATAATTTTGGGTAAAGAAGATAAAAGTTTTAAATAAAATATTTATTATTTTATTTATTTAGTTTTTCTTAG